TACTGACATGCATCAGTACCCAGGTGGATCCACCAGCTGCATCCTTGTTCCACCTGACTACACAGAAGGATCCGTCACACTCCAGTGCTCCCAGTTAGCTTATAAGCCCCACTCTCTGTCAGCATTCTTCAGTCTCCTGACGACGGACAGAGCATACTGTCCGAAACGTTAGTTTCCTCATTGTTCTTTTCAGAACCATACAGACTCACAAGAGATTGTATCCTTGCATGGTGCTACCGCAAGCCTTCCACCTCAGTTGTCTGTCACCATGAATAGCTTGAAATCCCATCTGCAGAGATATTGGTCTGCCAAAATTGCTGAAAACTTAATGTGTTGTGTAACTTGATAACATCATCTTACTGATTGGATTAAGTATATACCTTTAGATTCTGACTGTCTGCTGAGTTTGACAGAAATCAAGGTTTAAAAAAGGAAGTGTTTATGAAGTTTTGAAGTAGAGGCCTTTGAAAAGACCAAAACTTCATTGATACTGGCAGTGGGCTGAATGAAATGCAAGTCTGTCTGAAGGCAAAGCTTAAACTCACTGTTGAAGTCAATTTTAGATCCTTCTGTTTTACAGGACAAGTGGATTTTGTACGTTGCAAGACCCATTAATTGACATGAGGGAATCTGATTTTGGAGTAATGCGATTTCAAGATGAGAGAGCTATTGACCCTTCTAATTTGCCTTACATTGTGAGTATATTACTTAGGCACGATGTCAAAAGATTAAAATCAGCATGCTGCGGCTCACCCCACAGTGCCAAGGGTCAGCACTGCTGACCTATTTGGGAATCCTGCATAACTAAAGGTACAGATTTGCATAATGCTTTCACGGATTACTACATTCGGAGTACTTGTTGCCAGCCGCGGCGTGCCGACAGTATCAGACACTCATCTGATGCCAGCAATTTTCACTATTAAAGGCGTTTGCTTTCTGTTGGAAAAAGCACCTTTGAATGTTGTCCAAGAGGTTAAACAAAATTGTGGAGTTGTCACAATTAATTGCTCACTCACAAGAAGGCTTTTGGCTCATCAGTTTTTACAGAAAGTCTACATGCCACACATTTTTCTGTTACTGTGTATTATTTCTGTATTTGTGAAGGAGGTCCGACGCCTGGCATCTGTGTACGCTTTTGACTGCCCTCCCAGTTTGTTGAACCATGGTTGAAAATTCTCAGTGGGATTTCCAGGGTGGAATTGGGTCAAGTTGGACACGCACAGGTCTATGGCGTGTCACTCTTGGTCTTTACTCCTTGTGACTCCCATCCATGAACATGCATGCGGTCAACAAGAACAGTAAAAACATAAACCACATCGCTGTATATTAAACTACAATAACGCCATTACAAAAAACATGCACTTTCTCAAGGTTAAGGTAGTGTTCTCTGAAAGGTTATTTATCACAGCTATCTAAATAATAATCAGAGTCAGCCTAAAGGGCTACAGAACTAAATAAGAATGTGTGGAAGAGAAGCAGGACTCTCAGACCACAATCCAATCCACGAGAATCCCAAAAAGTAATGTTCTTTACATATATTTCGAGAACCCATGCGCATGTAAATTCACATGGCATTCCAACGTAACCTGTGCATAACACATGCAAACTTGCTGCAGAAATTCACTAACTTAATCCCAATAATTGCCTGAAATAACTCTGAAATATAAAGCTAAATGCTTACCACTTTTCCCCTTCCCCACTGAGGTTACGATTACATCTGTGAGATGACTACATTCTTCATGTATGGTGTGACAGGATATTTTTTTCTTACATTTTAGTGTGCTTTAATTCCTCTGCATGGTCCCCATATTTTC